TTTCGAGGCCGAGGCCAGCGGATCACCTGATGGTCGGGGTAGTCAAGACCAGCCTGACCAACATGGAGAAACCCCGTCCACTACTAAAAATACAAAATTAGCTTGGGTGTGGTGGTGCCTGTAATCCCAGCTACTCTGGAGGCTGAGACAGGAGAATCGCTTGCACCCGGGAGGCAGAGGTTGTGATGAGCCAAGATCGCACCATTGCACTCCAGCCTATGGTGGCGAGCATTCCGGCACACTCAAAGGCGATCCCAAATACGTGGGTGAGCGCTAACTACTATTCTCTCACAACAAAAATAAAAATTATCACACTCTTATTTTGTACTTTTGTCACGATTTGTATTGTATTTATAATATTATATTTTACTGTGTTTTTAGGGTGAGATATATAGCATTCCTTGGGAGGTCACTCACACCTTGCGCCCTGGCGGCATTTCTGCGCATTTCTCAGTAAAAATTGAACACCTATTTTTTCTTTTAAGAAAAACATGTTTAGGCCTGATGGGAGGTGGGGGTGGAACTTGCCTCATTTTGTCCTCCTCCCTTTTGGAATTCAGGAAAACCAGACCAGCATTTAACATGCTGGATACTAACCTGGAGGCTTCATCTGCATGATAAAACCTCAGTCTCCACAGCCTCTTATTGTAACCCAGACATTCCTTTCCATTGATAATAAATCTTTCAACCAAATGCCAATCAGAAAATTTTCAATCTACCTATAACCTGGAAGCCCCCGACAACCCCACCGCCTCAGTGGTCCCACCTTTACGGACCGAACCAATGTACATCTTAATCGTACATGTACTTGACTGATGACTCATGGCTCCCCTAAAATGTATAAAACCACACTGGGCCCCGACCACCTTGGGTACATGTTCTCTGAGCCCCCAAAAGGCTGTGTCACCAGCCATGGTCACTCATATTTGGCTCAGAATAAATCCCTTCAAACATTTTACAGAGTTTGACTTTTTGTCAACCGCAGGCTGCGTCGCTCCCGCGCCCAAGCGATCCTTTCACCCACAACTTTCCGAGTAGCAGGGACTTCAGGTGCGTGCCACCACGCCTGGCTTTTTTTTTTTTTTTTTTTTTTGGTACCTTTTGTAGTTATGGGAGGGCGGGGGGGGTCTTGCTATGTCACCCAGGTTGGTCTCGAACTTCTGGGCTCAAGCCATCCTCCCCCTTCGGCCTCCCAGAGTGCTGAAATTACAAGCCTGAGCCACCGCGCCCAGCCTATCTTTTAATTTTTAACTTCAACGTTATCGTTAAAAATCTAATCCCCCCAAAATATGGAAAAAAAACTTAATATGCATGGATCTGTAGTTTTTCTCTAATTCACTATCTTAAATATATTAATTGCAATCTCATCAACGGCGACTTGCATTTGAAATTTTCCACCTTAAGCGGTATTTTTTGATAAGATGGATTTTTAAAAAAAATCTACACCAGTAAACTAGAGTGAGAGACCCCTGCAAAGTCATACATGGGCCCTAAGTCATCGAGATTTTCCAGCAAATAATTTGCAGAGTGCTGTTTTTTCCTAGGTTAACTTGCAATCCTAAAACGGAAGGAGGTTCCGTTTTTAGAAGTTTAAATGTTGTCACACGGGCGCAAGAATACATACAACAGCCATGCTTTCCAGCTCTGCACACAACGCCAGGCAGATCAGGAGCACCGGGCGGTGCGGGAGCCCTTTCACCTGGGCAGGGCGGCTGCGGTGGCCGAGGGACCCGGGACCTGCAGCCCGAGCCGGCGCGCACCCAACCAACTTCCTGTTTCCGCGGTAGCGCGCGGGACTGTCACTGCAGCCCCGCCCCAGGGGCCTCAGGCGGGTGGGAAGCCAGAGTCTTGCCGGAGCCGCCGCGTCCGCCCGGCGCCTGCGTCCCACGGCCGGCGGCGGAAGCGGGCTGTCTGAAGGGGCCGGCGGTTGGCGCCCCGGGCTCCGCGGCCTGTGATCCCCAGAGCGGACAACCCCAGCTGGGGCTCCGTGCGCAGCTGCGGAGAGTAAAGGCCGGAACCTACGTTCGGCGTCCGGGCCCCTAGCGCCCTCCCCGAAGCGCCCGGCAGGCTCGGCAGTCCGACTGTGGCAGTACAGAGCACCCTGGGCAGTCGCCGCAGAAGGGCGGGGGGCGCGGGAAAGGCATTTTGGGGACACGGGAGCTCCGAGGGCGACGCACGGGCGAGCTGTCGTTAGGGCCCAGGAAAGGCCTAACGGGGCGCACGGGCGGGTAGGGGAACTCGCGCCCCGCGCCGCGCGCCCGGTCTCCTGACGCCAGGGCCGGCTTCTGAGCGCAGCCACCGCGGCGGCCGGGGCCGGCCACTGCTCCCCGCGAGCCCGCGTCCCCGCCCCAGAATCCCCCAGAGCCCGCGTCCGAGCTCCAGGCCCTGGAGGAGCCGGGCGGGCAGCTAATAGCCCCCAAGCCGCTCCCGGGCTCCGCGCGTGGTGGCAGCCAGGCCGTGCCTCACCGTTCCCCTCCCGCGCCGCGCTGCGGCTCCGGGACCCACCAGACCTGGCTGGTGCCCTCCAGAGATGTGCTTAGGGAGTGTGTGATGAATAAAGGAGACAATCAGGATAACTATAATATTTATTATGCACTTGCTTTTTTCTCACTGATGTTACTAATTTTAATGGTGTAGCACGGCGTGTTCCAGTTTTCTAAGTGCTCTCACATCCGTTCAAAAAATCCTGAAAATAAGCCTGTATATTAAAAGCAGGAGCCATTATTCCATATTTCAAGGAGTAAACAAGCTCAGAGTAATAATCCACGTAGAGCCTTCCAACCAGCCATTTCTAGTACATTTTTTACAAGTCTATGAGTGTGGTTAATACACGGAGATGTGGTATGAGGAATTATCTAGGACACAGCCAGCAAAATGCCTGGTATACAATTAGTATGCGGTAAATGGCTATTATTAAGAATATTGTAATATCTTCTGATATGATCAGGTGAACCACTTCGACATAATAGAAACTGGAACAGCCTAATTCCATAAACACACTGATATGACACCGGGGATTGTTTGCAGCCTCACCTCTAAAGTATTCTCTCTGACTAACTAAAGGAAACTAGACCCAGTTAAGCTTTTAACTCTAACCACAGGCTAAAGGAAACACAGGGGCCAAATGAACCTATTAGATTACACCACCAGGAAGTAATCTGCCAAATCCAGAATGTGGGAAATTCTACAAACCAAATGACCCAATTTCTTTATTCAAAAATAAATGTTCAGAGGCTGAAGTGAGAGGATTGCTTAAGGCCAGAGTTCAAGGCTGTAGTGAGCTATGATCACAGCTGTGAATAGCCGCTGCACTCCAGGCTGGGCAACACGGCCAGACCCCCCATGTCTTTAAAAAAAAGAGGGTGGGGGGAGCTTGAGAGACACATTAGCCAAATGCAGTGTGTGGACCTTGTTTGGGTCACGATTAAGACAAACTTTTACATAAATAAATGGCTTTTTTTTTTTGAGACAGAGTCTCGCTCTGTCACCCAGGCTGGAGTGCAGTGGCCGGATCTCAGCTCACTGCAAGCTCCGCCTCCCGCTTTACGCCATTCTCCTGCCTCAGCCTCCCGATAGCTGGGACTTACAGGCGCCGCCACTGGCCGGCAGTTTTTTGTATTTTTTTAGTAGAGGACAGGGGTTTCACCGTGTTCGCCAGGATAGTCTCGATCTCCTGACCTCGTGCCGCCGTCTCGGCCTCCCAAAGTGCTGGGATTACAGGCTTGAGCCACCCCCGGCCCGCCAATAAATGCATTTTTGAAAACACTGGTGGCCAGGCACGGTGGCTTCACGCCTGTAATCCCAGCACTTTGGGGAGGCCCAGGCGGGTGGATCACGAGGTCAGGAATCGAGACCATCCTGGCTAACACAGTGAAACTCCGTCTCTACTAAAAAAAATACCAAAAAATTACCAGGCGTGGTGACGGACCACCTGTATCCCAAGCTACTCGGGAGGCTGAGGCAGGAGAATACACTAGAACCCGGGGGACAGAGGTTGCAGTGGAGCCGAGATTGCACTTACCTGCACTCCAGCCCTGGGAAACAAGAGTGGAAAACCTCCGCATCTCAAAAACAAAAAAAAAAAGGGGGGGGTTTCTTCCTCTTGACATCAAACGTGTCTTTTCCAACACCACTTCTCCAACTCTCTGATGCCAACTTGGTGTCCTACAATTCAATTCCTTTCTGACACTACCTGGAATTTTTGTGTGACTCCACGGTCCCACAAGACTGTCCTCACTTAGACAACAAAGAAAGTACTGGGTTCCCAGGTTAGCCTAACTGCTGCTGATTGACTTACAAAGCAAAGTTCCTACAAAGAGGTTTCAACTACCTCATTACCCCAAGGTTAAATAATTTGCTAGAATGACTCATAGAACTCAGGAAAAGCTGTGCTTACTCTTACGGTTTATTATAAAGGGTACAAATGAACAACCAGATGAAGAAGTACCCAGGACAAGGTAAGTCCCGAGTGCAGAAGCCACTGCCTCAGTCAGGATGGGGTGTACCACCCTCTGGGATGAGGATGCGTTTGCCAACTTGGAAGCTCCCTGAACCCCATCATTTAGGGGTTTCTATGGAGGCTTCAGTCCATAGGTTTGACTGTGGCCACTGGTGATCAACTCAATTTCCAGCCACTCTCCCTTCCCTAGAGGTTGGGGGAAGGGTGCAGGAAACGCTGATCTTCTAATCAAGCCTGGTCTTTCTGGCAGCCAGCTCCCACCCTGAAGCTAAGTGCAAGAGTTGCCTCATTAAAACAAAAGAGGCTTTTAACACTCTATCACTCAAAATTCCAAGGGTTTAGAGCTTTGTGTCAGAAACCAGGGACAACCACCAAATATCTTTCTTGTTATTCCACAGCAACATCAATTCCATCTACAATCCTGATTCCCTTTTGCCATAAAAGGTAACATATTCACAGGCCCTGGGGAGTTGGACCTAGCTATCTGGGGGCCACTATTCTGCCTTCCCCAGCATCTAACAGTAAAGACAGCAGCTCAGGAAGATTGGCAGGGTGGCATTATGGAGCAGGGATTGCAGGGTTGGTTAAAAGACCATAACAAGGCCGGGCGCAGTGGCTCAGGCCTGGAATCCCAGCACTTTGGGAGGCTGAGGCAGGCAGATCACCTGCGGTTGCGAGTTCGAGACCAGCCTGACCAACATGGCGAAACCCCCGTTTCTACTAAAAATACAAAATTAGCCGGGCGTGATGGTGGGCGCCTGTAATCCCAGCTACTTGGGAGACTGAAGCAGGAGAATCGCTTGAAACCGGGAGGCCGAGGTTACGGTGAGCTAAGATAGCGCCACTGCACTCCAGCCTGGGCAACAAGAGCAAAACTCCGTCTAAAAACCAACAAACAAACAAAAGAACCTAACCAAAGTTACCTTCTCAGGGCAACGGGCAACGGAGATAAAATAAAAAGGGAGCTCTTGGAGGAAGACGCGTCTTTAGGCGGGTGCGGGCTGTGGTCCGCCCTCTCGTGCTGCTCACTCACCACTGTTTGCTCTGAAACAAGTCGGCCAGGAAGCCGCGCCGCAGCCATGGATTTCCTTTTTCTTTCTCCAGACGGAGTCTCGCTCTGTCCCCAGGCTGGAGTGCAGTGGCCGAATCTCAGCCCACAACAAGCTCCGCCTCCCGGGTTCACGCCATTCTCCTGCCTCATCCTCCCGAGTAGCTGGGACTACAGGCGCCGCCACCTCGCCCGGCTAGTTTTTGTATTTTTAGTAGAGACGCGGTTTCACCGTTGTCGGCCAGGCTGACTCACTCACCTTGAGTTCTGCAATTACAGGTGTGAGCCACCACACCTAGCCCGAAAGTTTATTTATTTATTTATTTTTTATTTTTATTTTTTGAGATGGAGTCTCGCTCTGCCGCCGAGGCTGGAGTGCAGAGGCCCGATCTCGGCTCACTGCAAGCTCCGCCTCCCGGGTTCACGCCATTCTCCTGCCTCAGCCTCCCGAGTAGCTGGGACTACAGGCGCCGCCACCACGACCGGCTAATATTGTATTTTTAGTAGAAACAGGTTTTCTCCATGTTGGCCAGTCTAGTCTCAAACTCCCGACCTCAGGTGATCCGCCCACCTCGACCTCCCAGACTGCTGGGATTATGGGCATGAGCCACCTTGCTCGGCAGCCACGGATTTTGAAGATACCGAAACACACCCATGGAACCAGAGGTGGCAAGTCACCGAATTAGAATCCCTCTGAGGAGCCGCAAGGGAAAATCCCTGGGGAAGGTGTGTGCTGACTTGATCAGAGGAGCAAGGGAAAAGAATCGAAGTGAAAGGACCAGTTCAAATGCCTACCAAGACTTTGAGAATCAACTACAAGAAAACCTCCTTGTGGTGAAAGATTTTTTTTTTTTTTTTTTTTTTGAGACAGAGCCTCACTCTGTTTCTGAGGCTGGAGTGCAGCGGCAGGAGCTTGGCTCACTGCAACCTCCGACTCCTGGGCTCAAGCAATTCTCCTGTCTCAGCCTCTTGACTAGCTGGGATTACAGACATGCGCCACCACGCCTGGTTCATTTTTTGTATTTTTAGTAGAGATGGAGTTTCACCATGTCGGTCAAGCTGGTCTCGAACTCCTAACCTCAGGTGATCCACACGCCTCAGCCTCCCAAAGTGCTGAGATTACAAGCGTGAGCCACTGCTCCCAGCCAGTGGTGAAAGTTCTAAGACACCAGATCGTTTCCAGGTGAGAATCTGCAAGTGACTCATCGACTTGCACAGCCCTTCTGAGATTCAGCAGTTTACTTCCATCAGTATGGGAGGAATCTGTGAGGCATTCACAAAGCAGAAATAATGATACAGGCCGGGCATGGTGGCTCACACATGTGATCCTGGCACTTTCAGAGGCCGAGGCAGGCGAATCACTTGAGGTCAGGAGTTTGAAACCAACCTGGCCAACATGGTGATACCCCGTCTTTATGGAAAACACAAAAAAATTAGCCGGGTGTGGTGGCACGTGATGATAATCCCAGCTACTTGGGAAGCTGAGGCAGGAGAATTGCCTGAACCTGGGAGATAGAGATTGCAGTGGGCCGAGATGACGCCACTGCACTCCAGCTGGGGCAACATAGCAAGAGTTTGTCAAGGAAGAGAGGGAGGGAGGGAGGGAGGGGAAGGTAAGGGAGGGGCACATGGAGCTGTGATTGTTCTGTTAGATCACGCTCTGTAATTAATATATGCCATAATTCTTCAGTGACCCAGTAAATGCATTACGAAAATATTCATGATCTGCATTCGTTTTACATAAACACGCAAGAGTCTAGTTCTGGTTTTGTTGTTGTTGAACCAGGGTCTCACTCTGTCTTCCAGGCTGGAGTGCAGTGGTGCGATCACAGCCACTGCAGCCTCCACTTCCCAGGCTCAAGCAATCCTCCCACCTCAGCCTCCCAAGTAGCTGGGACTACAGACTTGTGC